AGACAAAGGAAGCTGTGGTTGAGGCTTTGATTAAAGCTATTGCTGATTCAGGAGCAAAAGTCATTGTTAGTCGGTCATCAATTTGTAAAATGACACTAAATCTCTGCGAACTCTACAAGTAAGTGTTTACCTCAACATTTTAACCTACTTATTTTGAATTGTTATGTTGCACCTTTTGATAATACTGTTTTGGCAATACTGTTTTTTCAGGATAATGGTTCTGCAGATTACTTCCGAAATTGACTTTACCAGTTTCTGCTGTAAAGCTGGTGCAGTTGCCTCATCTCAGCTTTTCTTGCCTCAGCATCTGGGATATACTGATTCAATTTCAATAACAGAGATTGATGGTGCAAGACTAATGATTGCCGAGATTGGTAACTCCTCTACAATTGTTTTGTGTGGAACCAAATGGAGCCTCTTAAACAAACAAGAGAGATACATTACTCAGGGAATCGATACATACAAGGTAATCTACTGAATTAAAGACTCTTATTCTTGTCTTTTCTCACTTGTTGTAATTATATTGTCTCTTCTTCTCAGGGCACATGCATTTCTCAGGGCATGTTTAGACACAGAGACAGATCTATTGTCCCTTGGAAGACAGCAATGGAACTGTTGGTTACTATGAAAGTCTATGCTAAATCACACACAAGGTAATAGAATTTTGTAAAAGATTTTATGGTTTGGCAATAAACTTATGTTTCACTTCTCTATTTTCAGGTTAGAGAATCATGCTATCTCCAAGTTCGTTGAGAGCTTGGAATATGTGCTTAACAACAGGCCAGATTCATTTACAACCAAGTAAGGTCTCTCATACTTACTTATACTTACTTGTCTCCTTGTCTCTCATACTTGTTTTATACTTGTGCTTCAGATCACTTATTGAATCAACCAAAGCTGTTTGCTCAGTTCTCCGATCTTCTCAGATCTTACCTAAGCAGTTTGCCTCTTCATTTGAAGAAGAATCTGGGTATTGATACTTTCAGATTTAATTATATATTGAGTTTCTGGTCTGATGAATGTTAACTTAACTTGTTTTACTTTTCAGGTTTGATTTAAAGTCGCGTGTAATTAAACTATTGAATCTTTTGCTTATGGCTTTGGGTTACCTGGCGCTGGAGTTTATCGTCTATGATGCCAAAGATAGGTTTTTTTCTGAGACGGAAGAGGACAAGAAGAGGGCTGCAGAGAAAGCCGAGCGAGCAGCTGAGAGGGCTGCAGAGAAAGCCGAGCGAGCAGCTGAGAGGGCTGCAGAGAAAGCTGAGAGGGATAAAGAGAGAGCGGAGAGAGCCTTGCAGAAGCTTGAGAGAAAGAAGGCTGAGAAGAAGAAGGATTGAAACCGGATCAGAGAATTGATGTTTTTTTTTACCTGTTTACCTGTCGCTTAGCTTTGAAAAGGAAAAACCAAAATGTAGACAGAATGTTTGAAGCAGAATTTCAGGGGCTTATCATATAATGAATGACTTCAGTGATAACATCAGTGCTTGGCGTGATAATGATCAATGAGAACACATCATAGTGTACAAATTGTTGACTTGCCAAAGGCTTCAAATTGTCCATCCATTGGCTGTGCTTTGTTTTTGTACAGGTGAGTGAAGATCCTCTAACCGTCAAAGTTCACCATCTAAAGGTTTGTTTCTGTTTTTAAGCCCTTCCTTTTATCAAAGGAGCAGGGGAGCAAGACATGCGGTTTCTGTTTCCTTTTGAAATGCTGAAATCTATAACCCTTGTCTCGTGTTTCTTTGTTATTTCTTTGCAGGATAAGCCATATGACAAAGACGATGATGTCATCAAAGCAACATACTTTCAAGTTATGTCAACACTGGCATGTTCTCTTCATATCTGGCACTTCTTGCGAGTACAAAATATGTCAGAATATCTGTATCTTAGTAGATTTATCATGATAGCATATAGGTGAAATAAATTATCCAAGGTTAGCCGACTCTGGAGCCGGGATCTCTGGCGCTAACAAACATCAAAATCAGGGTTTTTTTGAAGAACTGGATGTAAGTAGTTAGCTATTAGTCTATTACTGTCACGTTTTGATGCTGAGATAACCTCAAACAGGATGATATTCCATTCTTAGCCAGCTTCTCATACTTTTTTCTTCTATCCAGGTTCATAAACGTCAGGAGTTGACACTGGAATTGGTGAAAAAAGAAGTTGAAATCAACAAGATTCAAGTACTTTATGCCTTCACTTTTCTCCATCTGTCCAGCTGACTCGTGCTACTAGATTTTTGTAAATGATTACTTTATATAGACTGAATCCTCATCTTTTTAAATTCGTGTTTAGGAATCCATAGCAAAAGTTGTTGAAGAAAAAATTAGTGGCGACAGACGTCGTATCATACTAACGGAGCAGATCAATGCTATAAAAAAGGTTTTCAGTTCGCCTCTAAATTTACAGCTGCTATTTTATTGTTGGTTGATGACTATTAAATGTACCAATGCAGGAGCTTGGCGTGGAGACAGACGAGAAATCTGCATGTTCTGGTTAGTACTACTATTCTACTACTATTGGAATATTTTCTATTCTAATGTTTTTATCTGATATTATCCATAGAGATTCAAACTTTGAGATTGCACCACTGTGAACTAATGACGCCTAATTTTCTATAGTTTGAGTTCCGAGAGCTGTGCATCAATGGGTGTAAAACAACTGAAGCTATAGTCTGTTTTTTACTGCAGAAAAGTTTAGGGGAAGGATTGACCCTATTAAAGACAAGATTCCAGAACATGTACTAAAAGTCGTAGAAGAAGAGCTTAAAAGCTGCAGCTGTTTGAAACCAGTTCCAGCGAATACGATGTGACCTATACCTTGATTGGTTGACCGTGTTGCCTTGGGGAAATTTCAGGTTTGCCATTTTCTTCATGTTTATGTCTTGAAGAGAGTTATATATATAACAGCATTTGTAATTCATCTTTTTGTACATTGATTGAGAACTCTCATTTATAATCATATTAATTTGGTTTGCAGTGATGAGAATTTTGATGTCCTACGGGCAGAAAAGATGCTTGACGAGGATCATTACAGATTATCTGAAGTAAAAGAAAGAATACTAGAGTTTATTGCTGTGGGAAGACTTAGAGGCACTTCAAAAGGTCGTATCTTTTGCCTTTCTAATTCAATCTTCTTTGCTAAAACTTTTTGTCCTCATCATTTTGTAAAATTTGTCAATAGGGAAGATCATACGTCTTTCTGGCCCACCTGGAGTAGGTAAAACTAGCATTGGGCGTTCAATTGCACGTGCTCTTGACTGCAAGTTCTTCCTGTTCTCTGTTGGAGGACTATTTGATGTTGCTGAAATTAAGGTATACACATGACAAAACTATGATTCAAATCTGTTAATAAAGTATTTATAGATAATAATCTATTATCTTATACATTGTTTAGGGGCACCGTCGAACATGTATTGGTGCCATGCCTGGAAAGATGGTGCAATGTCTAAAGAATGTGGGAACAGAAAATCCTCTTGTTCTGATCGATGAGATTGATAAGGTAGCTAGCTTGTTAGTATTTGAACTGGCTTTTTAGAGTTTGTAGTCAAAATGAATCTCTTGCTTCTTTGTTAAAGCTTGAAACTCTTTGCAATAATTGTCTATATATGTATCCTTGGCAGCTTGGAGTTAGGTGCCACGATGGTGACCCAGCCAGTGCAATGTTGGAGCTTTTGGATCCAGAGCAGAATGCAAATTTTCTAGACCACTATCTCGACATTACTATTGGCTTATCCAAGGTTTTCATGGACATTTTTTCTTCTCTTTACATTTGCAATTTTCTTTCTTTGTGATCCACCAAATTCAAGGAAAACCGGAATCCATTGATCCGATCTATGAATTGGTTTCATAATAGGAAGTTTGAGTTCAAACTTAGGTCTAATCAAATTTATTGCAGGTTTTATTTGTATGCACAG